CTCTGAGCTACATCCCCAGCCCTTTTAATTTTATTTTGAGACAGGGTTTTGTTAAGTTGCACAGGCTGGTCTTGAAACTGTGATCCTCCTGCTTTAGCAGGCATGTGCCACTTTTCCCGGCCACCGACTCAATATTTAATGCACATTTACCTTACTGTGTGTCAGGCTCTGTGCCTGGAGACAGAGACAGAAAGTGGAATCCCACATGTCTCCTGCTCTCAAGGAATTTATTGGTGAGTAGTACAGACTTCCACGCTTAAATATAGCATATAGGTGCAACAAAAAGTGTATGCAAGTTTGGTGGACAGAGGGGACATCCCTTAGAGATTTGAAATGGGGGAAGGGTTCCCCGAGCAGCTGGGGGAGTGTTGGGGGCAGGGGGCTTCTCCAAGCAGAAGATCAATGTGAGCAAAGGCGGGGCAGGGACTGTGTTCGGTGGACTGTGGCATCCGCCAGCTGTTCTGACCAGCTAGAATTCAAGAGAGAGGGTGGGAAGACGGGCAAAGCAGGTTGCTGGGGCCAGATCCTAAGGAGTTTCCTACGCTGGATCAGGAGTCCAGATTTTGTCTCAGCATTTAGAGAAGCAATTAAAGAGAACATGCTGGGACTGGGGTTGCAGCTCAGTGGCAGGTCACTTGCCTAGCACACGTGAGGCACTGGGTTCCATCCCCAACACCACCTAAAAACAAACAAAATAAAGGTATTATGGGGCCGGGGTTGTGGCTCAGAGGTAGAGCGCTCGCCTGGCATGCGTGAGGCACTGGGTCCGATCCTCAGCACCACATAAAATAAAATATTGTGTCCACCTATAACTAAAAAATAAATATTTAAAAAGGTAGTATGTCTATCTACAACTAAAAATATTGAGAGAGAGAGAGAGAGAGACATGCTGGGAGAGGGTGGGCACAGCAGGGAGAGGCTGCAGTGTTCCTGGAGAGAAATTATAAGGATGTCAAAGTAAGTGAATGAAGAGAAACGAAATGGATATGAAATAGACAAAGGGGGTAGACTCAGCAGGACTGCGGAAAAGCGGGACCGAGGGAAAGCGGGGTCGAGTTCCGTCTGGAGAACCAGATAGCAAGGGAGAGCATCTGCGGGAACTCTGGCAGGGTGGGAGCCAGGCAGAGGTCGGGGACCCCTGGCCTGGCAGCATCCAAGGTCCTTCTCAGGAGTCTGTCTGCACTCTATCCTGTAGATGATGGGGAGCCCCTGAAGGGACAATTCTTAGAATTTTACTCTTTCCTCCTTCCCAGGAAAAAAAGAGTAAGCCAGAAAGATGAGTGAGTTAGGAGAAGGGAGAGGGGAACACAGTGGGTCTCACTCACCCACAGGAGGGAAAACCCGAAGTCTGCCTAGCACGGTGGGGGTGTGGCCCTGTGCTGATTGTTGGCAGTGGTGACCGTGGTGAGGATTTAAGGAGATCCCACATAGTGAGCGCTCTGAAGTGTCGGCCACCGTTTCATTCAGGGCAACTCTGTCATCTATGGATATCTGTTGTATGACCATGAACCATTGGTGATGCTTGTTTATCGGCTGTCATCGTAGATGCTAAGGGCAGGAAGCAGAAGCTAGGGGTAAGGGTCCTCGTGTCACCCTGTGCTTCAGGAGAAGGAGTGAGTAGGCATGAAGGAAGACCCCTGGATTTCAAATGATCAAGAATCCAGAAAAGGGCTGACTTTGGGAAAGCACAGAACGGGAGACCAGGGAGGATCAACTAGACCCACCCCCGCACCTTAGAGCGGGTATCTGACTGCGCTCTTCAGAATCATGAAAGTTGAGAGTTGGAACCACCTACACATTCCCTCGGTCTAACCCAATCCTTCAGCTGCACAGATGAAGCACAGAGGCCCAGAGAGGAGCATCTAAAATCACCGAGCTGGTCAGCAGCCAAGCTAGAAGCCTAAGGCAGTCTCTCTGGACTTCTAATCAGGCGCCACGTCCATCTCCCCCTGACCTCCAGCTCCCTGTCACCATCGAGGTCCCCTAACACACTGAACTACAGTCAGCTCAGTGGCCCCTCAAACACGTGACTGGTTGCTTTAAGGGGCACTGTTCTCCTGTACTCCTGTTAGCCTGCAAGCCCTCCATCTGACCCCTGGCAGAACCCCGGCATGGAGGGGATTGGAAGGATCCGCTGTTTGACTAGGAGACAGCCAGCGCAGGGCAGGACTGCTGCGGGGGACCTCCAATGTACAGTAGGAGTCCCTGGAACCCAGGAACCCCGACCCTCCAACCACACCTGACACGTGGGCGTGCAAACACACTCACATTCACATCCCTCTCTCCTTCAGCCCCTACCCCCCTCCAGACACTGATTTTGGGGGTTTTTTTAACCCAAAGAACTGCCAAAGCCTTGGCCCTGGTGCAGGGATTCCCAGGAATTCCTTATCTTCACTTGAAACCACTCTGTAAAAGTTGTGGACTGTTCTGTGACCCTCCTTAGTTCACGGCAAGGCTGTGGCTGCTCTGATAGCCTCAGACTCCCTACCCAGCATCCTGCCACCTCTTTACCCTCATGAAACCTGGGACTCACCCCCGACTCTTTCCTCTCTCTCATGTCACCGTAGGGACCACTGACGATCCCTCCTAACTAGGTCCTGAGTTACCCCTTCCTCTCCACCCCCACGGCCTTGGTTGAAGTCCTCTTCATGGCTCCCTGGGACTCTTGCAATAACCTCCTAATTGGTCCCCCTGCCTCCAGCTTGCTCCTCTTCAATCCATTCTTCACACAGTCGCCAGAACCACCTTCCTAAAGCACAAGTCTAACGAGATCACCACCCTGCGTAAACTCCCTCAATGGCTACCCATTGACTTCAGATGACGTACAAATTAGGTTAGGTCCTGCTCAGTCTGGCTGCTGTCTACCTCTTTAGCCTCCTCTTCTGCTGTCGCCCAAGCATGCTTCACCTCCGAGAAATCCCAGGCTATCAGGGACTCCTACCCACGCCCTGCTGCGTCCGACCTCAGGGCCCTGCCTCAGGAGGCACCCCTTCCCCGTCCCTTGAAGTCCCCCTCATCATCCTTCAAAGTGCAGTTCAGGCTCAGAGCCCCCAGCCTTCCTGAAGCCCCCAGCCCAGGCCAAGGTCCCGGCTGAGCTCCCTGATACTTGTGCATCCTCTGACTCTGAAATCCCATGACTGGACACTAGGTTTTCAATTCTTGTGTGTGTGTGTGTGTGTGTGTGTGTGTGTGTGTGTGTGCGTGCTCAGGGTACTTGGAGTTCAATGCAGGACCTCGTGCGT